CAGTGGAGCTTCTAGACTAAGACGGACTAGGATTACTTCCAAAAATCAGCCAGTGAAAATCTTATGGATCACAACAGTTCGATCCCCAACTGACCAAGAGATGATGCAGGACAGGGCAGTGTCTTCATGGGGCCACTATGAGTCGGGGGCTGACTTGACGGCAGCTAGCAATAACAACATCTTTGAATAATTTTGTTTCAAGTGTTTTTGTTATTATTATTCAAATATTTATTTATTAAGAACTTCAAACCAGGCATTGTACAAGTCAGTGGGGGTACCAAAACCCATTGCCATCGAGTCAGTTCTGATTCATAGCAACTCTATAGGACAGAGTAGAACTGCCCCATAGGGCTTGCAAGGAGTGGCGGGTGGATTGGAACTAAGGACCTTTTGGTTAGCAGCCGAACGCTTAACCACTGCACCACCAGAGCTCCAGTGAGGGTATAGTGGTGAGTAAAACAGACATGGTCCTTATGTCCCTGGCCTCAGATACATCAGTCAGGCCTAGGTTGGACACAGCTGCACTTGGTTCATACCACTTATGGCTTGTCACATTGTATAGCAACTGTGTTTGCATCCGTCATTTCCAGCTAAGATGTGAGAAAAAAACGCAGAAACTCAGACACTGTATGTCACTTACTGTTGGACTTCCTGACACATGGGGAAGCTCTCAGTAAATAATATTGGAGTAAATGGCCCAATTCTGTTGAAATGCTGCTTCTGTCCCTAAATTTCCTCCTGGATTTTGCTCTCTGCCTCCCGGTGTGATCTGTTCCTGCCTTTGCCCTTTTCCGTGTGTCTTGCTTTCAATCGTCTATGTGCTATTTCTTGTCTTCTGCTGTGTGTCAGCTCCTACAATATTTTCTCTAACCAGTGCTCACTTTTCCAACTACCATATATTTTATGTCCATGATTTCAGCATTGCAATCTGCAATTCCAGCACAGCTGTTTCTGAGAATAAAAAACAGTACTACTACTGAAAAGAGATTTTGGGGTTTTATTCAAGTTCTGGGTAGCTACTGATGTCATTCCTGCCACCAAGTGGCCAAATTAGGATCTACAATAAGGCAGCAGAGTGTCTTGGCTTTTCCTTTCTGTAGCCAAAGTTTAAAACATTTTGATGCTAGCTGATTAGTCTTGATATTGCTCCCTGACTTAAGTTACTTTTAAAGATCTACATGTTGATATGTTTGGATTAAGTTTGGAAGCCAGTCTTAACTCTGTATCACTTTTGTCCTTAGCCACCAATTTTCTACCCTAGAAACACCATTCTAATACTTACAGTAACCAGTTTTAGATTTTAGGTCTACCATTCATTATAAAGTAGTGTATTTATTGGCCTAGCGATAATTCCTTTGAATAAATTTTTCATATGTAAAAGAATATTTTTAATAGTAATGATTAATTCTAAAGGACTACTAAGTCTCACTAAATTATGAGTAGTGTTTGTTGAGTAATAAATTTTCCTAAGGTCTTAATCATTCATTCAAAACATGAATTCATTCATCTAGTCAATAGTACTGATATTATATGCATTTTTAAAATTCTAAATAGACTTTACACCCATTGCTGCCTACTTAAAAGTCTTCCTTTTTGCTTCCTTTTCCCATCTTTTTCTTTAATCTCTTGTAAATCAAGATTAGACAGAAGGGTTTGAAACTGCTTTAAAATTTGACTCCATTAATTAAAGCTACAGGCAAAGTGTTGACACAGGAAAGTTTTCCCATATGGCATCATTATCCCACTTCGGTATCTTTGTTTTGTCCTCAAAGGAACTGACCGACATGGCTAGAGATAAATGAAAACCTTGCAACGTTGGAGTATATAAAAAATAATTTTGTATCTATACTAAAAATGTCTTATGCTTGGCCTACATTTACTTTTAAAGTATTCTGTAAGTTCCTTTGAGTAAATAAAAACGTTCATAATGGAAAAAATGTGTAGAATAAGGTGGAAAGGGACTCGGGAGTGACTGTAAATCAAAACTCCCTTCTTATTTTTTGAGATCCTTTCAGGGCATCTGCAAGGTGAAAGTATTTTTATAAAATACTAAGATACTGTTTGCCTTTTGCATTCTCATTCTCTGACGAGTGTTCAGTGGGGTTTTCTAGATTACGTGATATGTGATGTCATTGCCCTGACAGTTAATGGAATGTTTGCTGGTATATTCTTGTGTTTGAAAAAATTCTCAGTTTTAATATCACATATAGTAAATATCAGTAGATAGAACTGGCTTAAACAAAAGCTCAATAATTTTTAAGAATTTGAAGGAGTACTGAAACCAAAAAGTTTGTGAACCACTTCTTTATGACACAGTAAGGTTGAAGTTGCAGGCTTGCTGCTTCTCATTTCCTCTTTATTGTAAGGAAGTTTTTCTTTTTTTTCCCCCTTTCTGCTTTCTTAAAGAATAGAATGTGAATTTTAAGTGAAGCGTGGATGGTGCATTTCAGGAGATTAGGTCTAGACAGTTCTGAGTAAAGGTAGAAAGCTGGAAATGCAGGACAGAGGAACTTCCTTTTAACAGTACTGGCCAGAATGACTGTTTTATGCTCTTGTCACTGGAGGGCCCCAGGTATAGATCCAATAATAGTTGTCTAACTGTTATTCAGGATACTTTTAAAGAAGATTAATAGCTCAGGTAGGGGAATGTATTAAAATGGATCTAATAATGTAAGTTCCTTTTAAACACTTAAAATCCTACAATTTTAGGGCAAGAACCACTTTGGCTGTATGTGAATTCTAACACTAGCAATTGGAGTGAGAAGTTATTGTTAGTTGGTATTGCCCAATTAAATTCTTCCCCATTTAGTCTTTTAAAAAATTAAAATGAATTACAAAAGTGAACCTTCCCAGTTTGCTGATTCTATTTATCTCTTCTCTTTCTCTTAAATAAAATATGGTACTTTTAATCAACTCGCTTACGATTTTTTTCATGTATTTTGTTTCAGTTGGTCGTATTATGTTTCAGCTCTTCTCAGACATATGTCCAAAAACATGCAAAAACTTCCTTTGCCTATGCTCAGGTAAGTGGATTATTAAATTATTTCCAATGAGGAATCATGACTATCAGTTTTACCTTGCTTTAACAGAACAGATATTTCCCTGAAAAAATAATGGGCTGTGAAATGAGTTTTGCAAATTAAAAAAAAAATTTTTTTTTCACTGACTTCTGTATGAAATCAGGGAAGCATTTTTTGAGGGGAAGGGAGGAGAAGGAAATGAGCCCAAAAATGAAAAAGAAAGTAAGAATCTACTTTGTGTAATAAAATCTGTATTCATTATAGTTTATATTGTTGTTAGCTGCTATCAAGTCAGCTCCGACTCATGGTGACCTCACGTATAACAGAACAAAACGTTGTCTAGTTCTGTGCCATCTTCATGATCGTTGGTATCTTTTAAGCTATTGTTGTGGCTAGTGTATTAATCCATTTCATTGAGGGTTTCCTCTGTTTTCACTGACCCTCTACTTTACCAAACGTGATGTCCTTTTCTAGCGATTAGGCCTTCCTGATGACATGTCCAAAGGAAGCCAGCCGAGGTCTCGCCATCTTTACTTCTAAGGAACATTCTGGTTGTATTTCTTCTAAGACTGATTTGTTTGTTCTTCTGGCAGTCTGTGATATATTCAGTATTCTTCGCCAACATCACAATTTGAATGCATCAGTTCTTCTGTCTTCCTTTTTCACTGTCCAGTTTTTCACATGCATATGAGACAATTGAAAAGACCAAGGCTTGGATCAGGTGCACCTTAGTCATCAAAGTGACATCTTTAACACTTCAGCACTTTAAAGAAGTCTTTTGCAGCAGATTTGTGAAATGCAATATGTCATTTGATTTCTTGACTGCTGCTTCCATGGGCATTGTTGATCCAAGCAGAAAGAAATTGTTGACAACTTCAGTTTTTTCTCCATTTATCAAAATGTTGTTTACTGGTCCAGTTGTGAGGATTTTTTTTTTTAATCCCTTCATCTTCAGGCATAATCCATGCTGAAGTCTGTGGTCTTTGACCTTCATCAGTAAGTGCTTCAAGTTATCTTCATTTTGGGCAAGCAGGGTTATGTCATCTGCATATGACAGGTTGTTAACGAGTCTTCCTCCAGTCCTGATGCCTCGTTCCTCTTCCAGTAGTCCAGCTTCTTGAATTATTTGTTCAGCATACAGGTTAAAAAAGTACAGTGAAAGAATACAGCCCTGCTGCACACCTTTCCCAATTTTAAACCACACAGTATCCTCTCTTTCTGTTCGAGCGACAGCCTCTTGATCCATGTACAGGTTCTGCATGAGCACAATTAAGTGTTCTGTGTTATTCATAATTTGTTATAATTGTAGTTAATATAATAATAGCATAGTAAAAAATGATTGTCTTGGTAGAATTTTACAAATCTCAGTACTATGGACAAATTCAGCATTCCAGGTTTCATAAGAAATTTAGGGTTAGGGGGTAGAAAGGCAAAACATAATGAAGTTGTTCTTTATTATATATAATTGGATTCTATTTTAGCTATATGGAGCCCTGGTGGCACAGTGGTTAAGCGCTTGGCTGCTAACCAAAAGGTTGACAGTTCGAATCCACCAGGCGCTCCTTGCAAACCCTATGGGGCAGTTCTACTCTGTCCTACAGGATCGCTGTGAGTCAGAGTCAACTTGATGACAGCAGTTATTTTTTTTTAATATATAGGAAAAATGGGGAGGAAAATATCTATAATATTAATTTTGAAAATAGAAATAGCAAATTTATTTTTTTAATCTATACTTGGATGCACACAGACATATCTTTGCACCAGTTCTTGATTTTGTTCTTTTTTATAAGCCTCTCTAATCTTTCTTGAGGAGCCCTGGTGGCACGGTGGTTAAGTGCTTGACTGCTAACTGAACGATCAGTGGTTTGAACACACCAGCTACTTCACAGGAGGAAGACGTAGCAGTCTGCTTCCATAAGGATTACAGCCTTGGAAATCCTATGGGGCAGTTCTACTCTGTCCTGTAGGGTCACTGTGAGTCACAATTGATGAGTTTGGTGTTTTTTTCTTTTTAATCTTTCTTGATCGTCTGTGTCATGTAAAGTCTGTACCATACAATTTAACGTTTATATTCTGGTTTGTAGTATTTAGTTTGTATGTATGTTTGTGTGTTAAGTTGTCAGTCTGTCTACTTCTTGTATCTCTTCCGGCCCGGCACACAGGAGGGATTTGACAAAGGATATTTAGTTGGTTGATGAACATGGGAGAATGTGTTTGTAGCTGAACTTCATTTCTTTTTTTCCAGGGGAGAAAGGCCTTGGGAAAACAACTGGGAAGAAGTTATGTTATAAAGGTTCTACATTCCATCGTGTGGTTAAAAACTTTATGATTCAGGGTGGGGACTTCAGTGAAGGTAGAGCTAAAAATTACGTTCCTAATACCCCATCTATCAGTTTCTAGAGAATTATCTCATTGTTACTTTTAATTGTAAATACTGTATCACTCAGAGTACAGTGTAAATATTAGGTGGTCAGTGAATAGTTGTTGGATGAATGAATATTATAGACCAAGAATGTATGAAAAAGCAAAATGCTAAGACATTTTATTTTGTTTTTATGTAATTTATTTTAGTAATATTATTTGGTAAATTTCCTTATAATGAACTCCAAAGTACTATCTGAATTCTTTCGTTCTTTTAGAATTTTGTTGGTGTTAATACTTGTGAAATAAGTGGGTTGTGAACATCATTTTTTAATAGAATTTGACTCATAATTTAATTGAGGATTCTTTAAGTTTTGATTATCTGCAGCAATTACAAGGTGTTAGTTCCTTCTGCAAATTGAAACCATAAAAAGTAATTTAATTTATATATATTAAGTATATATTTCTAATTTTCATTATGGATTAATGTAGCTCATTACTTGTAGGTAATGGAAAAGGTGGAGAATCAATTTATGGTGGATATTTCAAAGGTAAGGCTTAATATTTTATGGTCTTTTGTTTCAGTTCTGATATTAAAGCAAGTTTGATCATATACTTTTACTGAGAAGAGGTTTACTTATAGTTCACTTTTTGCATGAAACTAATGCTGCATGAAAATACTTTATTTGCATGAATTTGGGGATAAATTAAATAATATATAGCTTTTAATTGACAAGATTAATTAAGGCTAACTTTATGGTTAAACATGACTTTCAGCATGGAGGTTAGGCAACTATATACATGAAAACTCCTATCTTCCTGCCTAAAACTGTCAACATATTCTTTTGTTTATAGAGAATGTGGTCTTTTGCAAAATGAAAAGGTAAGAGAACGAAGCTCAGTAACACAAATTCCAATTCTGTTCCCTTGCACCCTTCCTAATAAACTTATGGACAGCCTGGGTCAGGTTGTGACTGGATTTCTATATTGCTTGAAGACTTGGAAAATTCTGTATTTTATTTCATACGTGCTTCTGTACCTTTTTCTTTTCCCAGTGGGTTATTAGTTCCACATCAGGAAAAAGAATGTAGTTGTGTTTTTATTTTTTTATTTTTTTCCTAAACCAAGCAAATTATTTGAATAAAAGTTGATATTCCCTCCTTTTTCAAAGGTTTGTATGTTTTCTTTTGTATACTAGAAGTTTATGATTGTCTTTTATTCCTACAGTAGTAGTATTTGCATAAATCTAACTATTGCACTTGCCCCAAAAAGCCTTAGAAAAGTCAGTTGCAGAGATTTATAGTGGGATCCAATATTACTGGATTTTAACACTCTAATAGCTTCAGTGTTATAATCTTTTATATTTCTTTTGGGGGAAAGTGGATTACTACCCTTTTTCAGAAGCCTGTTCCCAAGGTAATTATTTTTTAAAGTTTTCTGTGTTTCTGTTTGTTCTAAAGAAAGATTTGTTTGTATGAATGTTAAAAGGAAGTTTAAATTAGTTTTCCAGGTATTTCTCCTAAGTGATCTTTAAGACAGATTTTTCCTTTGTCGTAGTAGGAAACAGCTGTTTAGCTGGTTCCATTAGCATGTAGCATTTTGAAGCTAATGCTGCAGGCCACTTTAATGTGGTTGTTCCCTGTGACAGATACCTGTGTATCTTAAAATTCTATTTTGCCATTTAAGTTTTTGTTTTTATAGGGCTTTCTTCCTTAGGTAATTTTGTTATCCTGTTGATTAGAAGGACTCCATGTACTTAATTTAATTTAGGCATGACCCTACAAGTTAATTTATGTAATTTTTTGCTCTTATAGTCCAGCTTCAAAACAATTGAGCAGTGAATTTTTCATATAGAAATTAACCACATAAGAGGATTAATAAGCCTTTCCTGTGCATAGGACATTAGGCAGGATAATTGGAAATTTGGAGGAAATGAGCTTTACTACAGAGATTTTTCTAAAATTTCTTTCCTAGTTTTCCTCGAAAGTTAATAGATTAAATTAACCAAGGCATGTTACTACTGAAAGTGACTGTTCTAAGGCTGTTTGTATAAAATATTAAATATATGTTCTTTTTCTCAAGGCTTTAATTAGTATTTCTTGGTCTTTTTATGCTTTTGTGATTTGATTAGTTTAATTTTTTTTTTTAAGTATTCAGTCAAGTATCTGTACTGACCAGAAGAGGAATTTCATCTTTTGCTTTCTGTTTATTACTGTGAACATTACACTTTAAAAGTGACTTATAATTAGAGACTGACAAATTTGTTTTTTCTTTAAACAGATGAAAACTTTATTCTCAAACATGACAGAGCGTTCCTTTTGTCAATGGCAAATCGAGGGAAACATACCAATGGTTCCCAGTTTTTCATGTGAGTAGGCATAATTCAGAGATGAGCTTTTCTTAAACAGAGAAGCGCTGTTCATGAGAAAGATGGTATAGTTAAACCAAGTTTAATGCTAGAATGTCAACTTGGATTTTAGTATTAATTTTTAGTGTTATAATAATTGGTCAGCTCTAACAGAGCGCTGCCTCAGCGTGTATCCTGGATTTGAAGAATGGAACCTAAAAGATATAACTTGAAGATATACATTATTTTCAAAATATATTTTCATCTTAAGAAAAGAAATTGGCTTTGACTGTTACCAAATTTGGGGACTCAGTTTACCAATGCTAGATTAGAACACAAAGTATGGATGGATAAACATGTAAAAATTGTTCATAGAATAGGATTTAGGTGTACCCCTGGTATGGAAAGCAGTTGGTCTGAATAAACCATTGCATGGTGGTTTTCTTCTCTTCCTGTTGCCCTCTAAGAAGCCAGTTTGAGAGAGGTACCACTATTTTCTGATGTTGTATAGAGATAAGTGAAGATATGTGATTTGCTGTTAAGCTAGCCTTTAAAAAAACTCAAACTCTGTGAGATCTCTATGCATAATTGAATTAACCCAGTGTTGCTATAATTTCCACCCAAGTTTATAATGAGTTTATCACTCAGAAAACTTTCGAATGCTAAAATTACTTTTTAAAGACAAACTCCTTTACATGTAGTGCATGCCCACACAGAAAGCTTACTGCTTCTCATCTGAAGATTCTGGATAAGATGTTTGGCATACTTTTAGTTATATTCTTACCTAAAGCTACTCAAAAACCTATTTGTACCATAGTCCCATGATACAAAATGTGAAAGATTATTGTCCAGCATGAAGTTTAATGCTTTTGATTGGAAGTAAATCTCTACAGTTGTACTGTATGTATTAGAGAAATATTTTATTCCATAATTTATTCAGAAAAAGATTTCTTTGTCATCTTTCTGAGTGGATGAGTATGAATGGCGCTTCCCTGTCTTTAAAGGAGTAAATTGTTCATATTAAAAAAAAATCTTATATTATAAATTTGTCTGAAAAATAGATTTCCAACCTGATCTGATAAAGTTCAGATAAGGGGCATTCTGTTTCTAGGAATGTCCTAAAAATGGAAAGCCTGGTAGAAGATGATAATGTTTGGAGTTACATAGGAAAAAAGGAAGATCTAAAACAGTTGTTCCTGTATCTTGTTTTTATCCCATAGAGTATTTGGTTATTACCCTTCTTTACTGTTTTTCTGTTCTTGGCCTAGTTAAGGGCCAAAAATAAGATGAGTGAAACGCTTTGAAAAACTTCTTTTATAGTAACTTAATGTAGAAGCTGCTTACGCTTTGATTAAGGTTTCCCATTTCCATTTTTAAGCTTATCTGAACTGTGAACATGGTAAACTAATGATTCATTGGCCAAGAAGCTACTACCTGAGGGCTCTAAAGTTTCTTGTAGATCTCCTATTTTACATAAGTACATTTAAAATTTGATTTATGAGGTAGCAGTCAGTGTTACTTGCAGCACATATGTAACTTGCTAGTATTATATAGATTAGCTTGTTTTTAGAATGTTAGAGATAAAACTAGAGTATCTGCAGGCATTAGTTTATTTTGTTTTTATGTTATTTAGTACTTGCTTAAGTCTTTTCTAGGAATGTTTAGTATCAAACAAAATTAAGGCCTTTGCTGTTTTCTACCTGTAGTAATTTTACATTGGAATGCTATTTTTGATTAAAAAAATGACAAATGAAAATTTTAACATCAGTAAATTAGGATTAAAATTTTTAAACTTGTTTTTATAATTAAGTGTAGGTGGCACTAAAATCACTATGAACTTGTGACTGAAGGAAAATTTTCTACCTTTAGTTTGAAATTTACTTCCACAGAAGAGTTTGCAGTTAAAGGCAATCTTGGAAGTAACTGAGTGTTTTTGCACGCACAGAAAATCTTTATCTCCTTTTTTTAAAAAAAATTTTTGTGCCTATGTGCTTTCTTTATGCTGGCGAAACGTACCAGTTCCTATGGGTCGCAGGATAAAATCAAACTAATGTTTATGTTTCTAAACAAAACATTTCCTTGCTTTATAGAAAGGATAGGTAAAATGGACTCGGTGCCCTATAAAAGAAAAATCTTTATCTTGCAATTCCAAATCCTTTTGGAGTTGGAAGTAGTGAAAAGTATAATGTATTATCTTCAAGTTGTTTATATAACCACAGATACCCGTTGCCGTAGAGTCGATTCCTACTCATAGCGACCCTGTAGGACAGAGTAGAACTGCCCCATAGGGTTTCCAAGGAGCAGCTGGTGGATTTAACTGCCCACCTTTTGGTTAGCAGCCATAGCTCTTAACCACTTTGCTGCCAGGGCTCCTAACCACATGTAGTAGGGCTAAATGTTGACGTTATGAGGCCATCTGATTGCCTCCTGCCTTTTATCCTGTTACCACAACTACTTATGTGGCACCTTGAGTAACAGTTCTGGAATCTGAAAAAGACAGTACAGTGAGAATGGATAGAAAATGCCAAGAGCTGCCTTTCTGGTGCCTGTGTCATAGGCTTAACAAGGACTTTAATACATCCTTGCAAAATTATACTTGCATTTAATGTTATAGATTTGTTATTCTGCAACACCTAAGGAGTAAATTTGGTGTTTTTAGTGTGAGATATTTGTAAAAATTAACTATTGTCTTTATTTTTACACATTTAAAACCTGTCCTTCCTAAGGGAGACATCATTTTTACTAAACATAACATTTTATATGTATTACTTCCTGTGGCTGGAATAATTATGCATATGATGATATTCAGATTTTCTTCTCTAAAGCTATTTGTAATTATTACAAGTGCTTATATCTAATGCTGTATTAGTCATAATGATTTTGTTTTAGAGGACCTATATGAAAGAAACCTTATTCTTTTTTAGATAGTACTGTTCAGGAAATGTGCAAGAAGTGATATATGGTACTGTCCCCGTGGATCACTGAGAAAACAATGGTTTGTTCACACTGAGGCATTTCTAAAGGAATTTAAAGACCTGGGACCAAAGTTACCAAGTTAACTCGGTATTTAGTCATTTGGTCCTTTCTGTTATTTTTTATTTTTTGGCCAACATCTAGGACAAAACCACAATAAAAGCTGTAGCATTACAAAGTGGAAAGGGATTAAGAGATCATCTGATCCACCTTTTTTGTTCTATAGATAACACTATACAAGAAAGAGAAAGTGTAAAGTTGAAATTGTAGAAATTTTACTGGAAGAATTGATAGCTAGAGAGAATGCTGCACAATATAGGCTACATAATTTTATCGATCACTCTCCTCTGCATTTATTTTAGCTCAGTATTAGAAGCATCAAGCATTGCAGGAATGACATCAGGGGAAAAAAATTTTTTTTTTAAATTTTGTTTTTGGCTGTTAGTAATAATAGTCTATTAATTCTGGCTCTAATTTTTATTGTCTTTACATACATTCATCAAAAAGATAAAGAATATGTTGCATAAAATAGACACTCAAAAGATTAGGTAGGTAACTTTGTATTAACTGTTCTCATGGAATAGGGCATTACTATCTGTCAGGAAGCCTTGGTTTTAGTTTTGCTTCCTGTGTACCGTGAGTTAGTCTTTGCCTTTCTGTTTCTTATTTATAAGGTGTCTATCCCCACTTTCAAAGATTAAGTAAATATTTTGGTATAAAAATATGGGCTTAAAAGGAAGAAAGTATTTTTTAAGTTGATCCTAGTTTCTAAATATGTGGAATGATTCTTGTACAAACATTGTCTTACCTAAAGGAATTAGTTGTAATTGCATAATTTTCATCTGTCTGAAAGATGCTGCAAAGAAGTGTTGGGCTCATCTTGCCTAAATCAGGGCCTGCAGCAGTGTATTTGTCAGCTGTTGTTAGAACATGGGCGTGACTTGCCCTCGCAGTGTGTGTGTTGCACCTGTTCCTCTTTGGCTCTTAGTCTGCGTAGGCCCTGTATCACAGCCATCGGGTAGAGAGAAGCTGCAGAGCTTTGGAGAACAGTCCCTGGGCCACTGTTATTGGTCATGATAATTATTAAAGTATGAGAAAAAAACAAGATAACATAGAAAAGCCAAACTGAACTTTTAAATAAGAAGCGTTTGTTATATTTTAAAAGTCATAAATAGGACTATGGGGGAAATAAGTTCTAGAATATGTTCTATGACACTTAAGAATCAGACTTGCAAGTGGCTACTCATTTGAGTGGGAGGGGGGTGCTGATCATTTCAGAGTAGGGGAGCAAGGGGAATTGAGGGGAGGTTTGCTTTTAAGGAGTTTACAAAGCTGCACTGACATTTTGGGTACCAAATATAGATTTGGGTAGGAATGCTTTTGCCCTCCAGCTATTCACGAATTTGTATGAGAAGAAATGCTAGTAAGTTTTAGTAACCTGAAAAGTTCTAGCTTTATTCCTTCCTTTTCTGGGGGCAATACCTTCATATGTTAATTTTCAAGATTTTTTGTGAATAAAGATGTTCATAAAACTTAACCATAAGCCAAGCTCTCTAAATACCAAGTGTCGTCTCTAACATCCAGTTTTAGTATTAGTGTTTAAGTTGGAATCGACTCGACAGCAACGGGTTTGGGTGACATATGTGTTAGTAACCTGGAAGAAATTTTGTACCTAGTAGTGTTTGGTATGTATTACATTAAACTTAGTTTGAATTTTAGGAAGTTCTTCTATTTTGGCAATCTTTGGAACACATAGGTAGAGTGTTGTAAAGTGGTTTGGTTAGTTTCCGTTGCCCTTACACAATCTTTGTCACTCTGTACAATTTGTTGCCTCTTCCATCACTGTGTATGATAGTTTTAGGAGTTTAAGGAAGAAATTTCATGTTAAAGGTTGGATTAGAGGGAAATAGGTTATCTTTATTTCCCTCTTTCATACTACTTTATACCTAGAGTCACCTGTTTTTACATTTATTGAAAACTCCAAATTATTTGAAAACATTATATTCTTTTTTATAGAAATTCATATTATCATAATTAAAGCTTGTTTTTAAATATTTCAAGATTTAATATGTCCTAAACCCTCATAAAGAATTTTGTCCACTATATAATATGGTTTTGGGTCTGAGTAGTAATAGATATGTTTAAGGTTTAATATAGTTAAAATTGGTCCAGCAGTCTGTATTCTTTGAAAAAAATAGTTTTTATAATGGGGAAAATTCGGAGAGTAGACAGGAAAAAAAAGTACCGTGGCCAGGATTTGACAGCACACTCTTAAACTTTCATCTCTCTTGCCTTTTTATTCTCTGAGAAGATCCCTAACATTCTAGTTGTGCTGCTTTATTATTTTATTCTTATTATTTTTAGTGACTTAACATTATTTTGTTATTATTATTTTCAGTGACTTAATAACTACAAAGTGTATTTATAGTAACTACAGTCCAGACATTTGCTTGTTATCCCAATAGTGGCCCGTTGTGATACGTGGCCAAAGAAAAGGTCGCAAATTTAGAAGCGCAAAAGATTCTTTAACTATTTGAAATGAATTAGTAAAAAGTTCCCTGAAATTTTATGTTTGTTTTGAACTCTTTGACCCAGTTTTTTTGTTGTTGAAGTTTTTGCTTTCAACTGGTAGTAACTGCTGCTGAGCAGTCAGATTTTTATATTTAAATACGTCCTCATGGTACGTTATTCTCTTATTTCGGGGATTTGTGAAAGGAAATCTAATGTTTTGTTGATAGTTATTATTGACATGCTAGTGTTAAAATATTAAAAATCTGAACGGATTCCCACTTCAGCCACAGTGTTTTTCTTAAGCATAGTTCACCCCCAAATATGTGTCCTGTATGTAAGAAAATTTAGAGCCCTCCGTTTTAAAAAGCCTTCTTGCTTTGCATAAAACTTGAAAATATTTAATTTCAAAGTTATAGTGATATTAAAACATAGATTCAGTCTTGTCTTAAAAGTGTATTACAATTTATTTCTTGCAATTTTTGTGTAAAATTTACAGAAAGAGTGTTACACCGTGCGCTCCAAAGGTAATGTCTCATTACTCTAAGGCTCTCTCTTTTTCTTTCTTTGCCTTTATCTTTAATCCTATTGTTATATGCATTGAATTATTGTAAGAAAAAAAATCCTTCTGCTTGATCTGTATGGCAGCAATACATGTAAAACAAGTGTGTTTTATTGTTCATGATCAATCTTGGGAAGTAGAGTTTCATTTCAGCAGCTGGTTTCACCAAGTTTCTACACATCATCTGGTGGGGTGTGGGGTTATATTTTATATAATGGTTTTAGAGTTCATTTCAGTGCAGAACTGTTAATTTCTGTGTAAGATCAAAAGCTTCTTTGATAATGGTATAAAAATTTAGATTTTTTTTTTTTTAAGTAACTGTGACACTTTTTGATGTCTGGCATTTGCAAAGTTTAAATGACCTCTTGCATATATATATTTTTAAGTAGATTCAGGGGTGGGGGAAAACTGGAAATCCAGTGTTTCTAGTGACAGGAGAAATGGAAATGTGTAAATATTGAACGGGTTTTATGATTTGAAATGTTCTTTGCGGTTGTTTCTCCATTAGGTATAATTTCATAAGCATGTATAAACTTAAACGTTGATGATAGTCTCCAGCCTTCTTAAGGTCTTAACTTACTGAGTTTATGTCACCACTGCACCTTTTTCTAAACAGTTCCATAGTTTTGAAAGTTTAATACAATTCAGAGTTGATGGAATGAGATCTCTTTGCCCATTTTGGTAGAATTGAATAGCTTCGACTGAGCACTGCTATTATGCCGCCTTCTGCCCGTTTGTAACCCCATTTGGCTAATGTCCTCTGTTATCCGTGTGTGGTGTCAGCCAGTGCCAGTAAGCCTGCTTTACATTGGGCTTTCTACTTCTGGAAGGTAGACTGAGAACCCCACAGGGCCTTTTTTGTCAAGATACTTTTCAGTATTCTTAATGTGCAGTCTAACCAATTAAAATACAGATTTGCATTTCTGCATCCTGAATTGCAGATGCAAGTAATGGGCTTGATTATTTTCATCAGTCTAGGCACAAAGGGCCAGCTGAAAGTTGTCTTTGAAAGAAAGAGTTGCTCCTGTCTTCATTTGTTTTTTTCACTACTGTAAAAAAGAACCAAGTTTGTTTGTTCTTCAGTTTTTATTTGACTTAAAAACAAAACTTGAATCTGTCATAAAGATAGCTATTCCATTCTCAAATTGAGTCTTAAGGATTATGTTGCTACATTACTGCGATTAGCTGGACTGTTTTATCTCACCGTTTGCTCCGAAGGTTTGGAATGTCCAAAGGTTTTCCATAAAATGGTTTTTGGATAGGAAATTTAATTGGGTTCTGTGTGTTTTAGGAAAATCTGTAGGGTTTTTCCCGGTACTAGAAGATCTAGGGAAGTTGTGAGAAAATCATGGAAGAAGGAGGAATATATCTATCTAATCAGTAAACCATTCATTGTTTTCACTGCTACATGTTTGAGACTGATCCCTTACATTGTAGAACACTTTCACCTTTTTGAAGCACTCTGTACATCTAACGGAAGCACCGTCTAGCTTGTGTACCAATTTCTTCCTATCTTTAGTTGTGCTTTGGTAAAGTTTTATAATTATGAGAAACACATTTCTATCTGAAAGTGACTTACTGTCCAAGGTAGTTTCTGGATGCTATTTTAATGGTTTAAGCATTGGTAGTTCATCAGTTGGCTAGATTTTCTTTATTTATTTTTTCTTTTCTTTTTTCTGCCTGTTTTTATTTACAATTTTATATTTGTAATTTTATAATTACACTGGCTTGAATTTTCATTTCCAGGTCTTCTAAGGAAAATTTGAGACTTGTGTTTTTAATACTCTAATTTTCCTTTAAATTTCTGGAACTTCTTAAGTTGACATTTTAATTTAAAAAAAAAATAAATTCTGTAGTACTCTTTCAGAACTGAATATTCTTAATGTAAGTATAAGCATTACAGTTCCTTTTAGAATAATGATTTTTAGTATTGTTGTGAATGTTAGAATTGTGTTTTGTTGACTTACATGTCTTGAATTGCCTTAAAGTAAATATAAAAATTTATATGAGAGCTTCTAGTACAGTTGACTCCTTTGATGTGGCCTGATATTCAGTGACCTTTTCTTTCTTCTCTCAAATGTCCGTTTCTCATTCTTATAAACGAAGCTGCTTGTCGTGTATAATTCTGAGTCTAGTTATCTGCTTTGAATCTTTTCCACTGCAGTTCACATAATGTGAGGATCTGTGAAAGTGCTATGGGAAAACCAGCTTGGATTTAAATGGTCCTAACCAAATGTAGGCTTCCCCACAGTGGCTATCTGACAGCTTGTGGTTGCAAAAGAAGCCTGTTGGATGTTTTCTGAGCCATGGGAATTGAAAATGTCTGCAATATTATCCATCATTGCTTACTCTGCTGTCAGAAGTGTTGCAGATTGAAGGTTTTTTTCCCTATTGCATTTTCAGAGTTACTGTGAGTGGCAGCCTCACCTTGGGTGAAGGAAAAGGGGCAGGAAGTTCTGAAACAGGACTCCTGAGGGCCTGTCTCCTTCTGCCTGCCTAAAAGATGCAGACTGACTCAGTATGAGAAATGACAAATAGAAGAACTCACTTAAGTGTGTGGGGCAAGTGTTGATCACACTTCTTTCCATAGGGCAAATGATAGGTGCTTTTTATTCTTGTTAATTATCTTGATAAAGTTTGAGGTTTTTTGTTTGTTTGGGGATTTTTGCTGTTGTTGTTTTGGATTGGAGAGTAACTTTAATTTTAATGTATATTTATGGCCATAAGTCAAATAAAACCTATTACATACATATACTGTATATATATATTTCAGTACATACATACATATGTACATACACATGTATAGTTTTCATGATATTGGAAAAATAGATACGATTCTGTAATTATTATAATCTTGAGTTTTTTTATTAGTAAAATGGCTGGTATTGCTGTTTTTAAGTTTCGATGTATACCATGTTTAACTTTTCCCCTTTTTATCTTTACCTCTTTGTTTTCTACATGCTTTAAACCCTTCCGCCCTCTTCACTTGAACACCTGGTTTTTGCCATCTCCTTTGCGTTGATGTTTATTACACAGTACCACAAAACCTGCACCACACCTGGATGGGTAAGAGTTCCATTCTTCCTACCTTGGGATGGTGATTGGGTTGACCATCCATAAAAACCGAACAGATTGGACCATGGGGGGACCTTCAAGGAGGTGCTTTGATCTCTGTGTTAACCTCTAGAGCCACAGTCTTCCTTGAGGGTCATAGAGTGCAGTAGTCTTGAGACATCGTGGTTCTCATGTCACTCACTGTAGGGGGTCTTTAACCTCGGCCCATGAATGGACTTCTCAGCCATGTAGGCTTGAGTGTTCCTGAGAGTAGAAGTAATGGTTTCTGAGTATCAAGTGCAGTCTGACAGTGATCAGACTGTTTACCCTAAAATGGTTAAGAACCATGGTTTTAAAGGTAGAAAACTGAGGCCCAGTTTGAGTAATTGGTGCTGTTTCCTTTTATAAAGCAGATTCCAAGTTCTAATTCCCTTCTAGTTGCATCATTCATTGAACGCTTTGGTTTTGTTTTCAGGTCTGTGAACATGTTATTTATAGCAGTTATCTTGATTACTGCTCAGAGCTTAATTATTATCAAACTAAGTCTTTCTTGAATTTGTATTGTGATAGGGTGCATGTTGTCTTTGGACTAGTTATTTCTGGTTTTGAAGTAATCGAACAAATTGAAAATCTGAAAACTGATGCTGCAAGCCGGCCTTATGCAGATGTGCGAGTTATTGACTGTGGAGTGATTGCCACGAAATCAACAAAAGATGGTAAGTGCTTTATTGGGGTGGAGGGAGCTAGGGTGCACGTTAATGCATTGTTGAGGACTATTACTTAAAGATACCTCCTGGATTTCAGTTAGGGGGAAAATTCATACAAGTGGTATAGCAATAGCCCTTGATGCTGCTATATCACATCCTTCATCAATCCATCAGCAAATCTTGTCGTATCTTACCTCTTCTTATTACTTCCCCTGCTACCAGCCTGGCCCAGACCACCATTATTTCTTCCCTGGATTATTGCAGTAGCCTCAAACTGTTCACCTGGCCTCTATTCTTGCTCCCCTGTATCTTTTCTTAGCAGCAGTAGCCTCCTAACTGGTGTCTTTGCTCATACCATTGGCCCTCTGTAGTCTGTTCTTAACAGGAACCAGAGTGATCCCTTTGAAACATATTTCAGATCATGTCACTTCTGCTCAGAACCCTCTAAGAGTTGCTTTCTCAGTCAGCCAAAGCTGAAGTCTGTAAAGCCCTAGACATAGACATAGACAGCTGTCTCTCTGCTGTCTCTCGGACCTCTTCCCCCTCATTCATCACCTTCCAGCCGTGTTGGCCTTTACTTGGACATGCCAAGAATTCAGGGACTTTGTTCTGGCTGTTCCTTCTGCCTGGAACACTCTGCACTCAGATATCTGCATGACTCCTCTTGCTTCCTTTGGGTCTCCACTCACATTGATCTATCCACTCCCCACTCCCCAGCCCTCTACTCTCCCCAGTCCCTTTACCCTGCTTATTTTATTTTTCTGTCTTAGCACTTACTATTTGTCGTATTATGCAGTTACTCATTTATTTTCTTATTGTCTGTCCCAGCTAGATTATAGGCTTCACGAGGGCAAGGGCTTTGTTACTGTACAATCTTACCAGCAAATTGTGTTATCAGCTTGAAAGAAAGTTTATTTGGATTTCGTTTTTAGTTTGCTATATAAAAAGCATGTTTTATGATACTTAGTAATTACATTTTTTACCCCGAAAAGTAGGCACTGAAATGCAGTACTAATATGTTCGTTAATTTTTCTTAAAAGTTTTTGAGAAAAAGAGGAAGAAACCAACTCATTCAGAAGACTCGGATTCCTCCTCCAGTTCTTCTTCCTCTTCAGAATCATCTTCAGAAAGTGAAATCGAACATGAGAGGAGCAGAAGGAGGAAACATAAGAGGAGGCCAAAGGTTAAACATTCTAAAAAGAGACGAAAGGAAGCGAGCGGTTCAGAAGAGCCAAGGAGCAAACATTCATTGAGCCCGAAAGGGTGAGTGTGAAACACCAGGGCAGTCTTACTTAAAATACAAACAACAACAACAAAGTAAACCCACTATGGAATAGGAAAAATATGTGTAATTCTATGAACTTAGTTTCATTACCTATTTTGTTGAAAAGGGTTGGCATTTTTGGAAATTTAAATTGAAATCTGGCAAATCTAGGGGTAGCACAGACATTTGATATCAAAGATTTGTGTGTTTGCTGGTAACAATAATCCCTGAAATTCTTGACAGAAAAAAAGTTAGGATCATTTGATCATTTAACAATTTTCACTGGGTTAAGTTTGGTAGGTTCTCTTTGAGAAAATTGATTTACAAACCTTTTGAGTGAGACTTCTAAGCTAGCAGTATTTTGCTGTTATTTCAGTATCTAATTTTATATGCTATTTTATAAAATGTAAGCATTACATATCTTGATTAGTGTCTTGGTTTGTTCTCTCTTAAGTAACTCTGAGAGGAGTGATACCAATGAAAAAAAGTCAGTCGATTCAAATGCTAAAAGGGAAAAGCCTGTGGTGCGCCCAGAAGAGATCCCTCCAGTGCCTGAGAACCGATTCTTACTGAGAAGAGATATGCCTGTGGTCACTGTGGAACCTGAACCGTAAGTAGAATGAGCAACCTGTGTGTTTTCATCTTTCTCTGATAGATAATTCCTTCAGCTCGCTGCCGTTCCACACTGATTTATTGAGCACAACTCATGTGCAGAGCACTTTGAAGGATACTGTGGGAGATACCAGAATGAATGACATGGACCCTGCCTTTTAGAATTTGCATTCTACTAGCAGGGAAAGAAGGAGCCTAATCACTCAGTGGTTAAGTGCTTGGCTGCTAACTGAAAGGTTGGCAGTTAGAACCCATCAGCTGCTCTGCAGGAGAAAGATGTGGCAGTCTGCTTCTTTACAGATTTACAGCCTTTGAGACCCTGTGGGACAGTTCTACTCTGTCCTGTAGGATTGCTGTGAGTTGCAATTGACTTGATGGCAGTGGGTTGGGGTTTTTGGAGTAGAGAAAGGGGCAGGGACAGGTGGGTCAAGGGGGAAGTCCTCATTGGAGATCTGGGAAGATTTCATTACAAATCTTACTTTGGCTTTTCATTAGAGAGGTGAGGTTTTGGTTATCAGGACAGAGGGTTAATTGAACTCTTTGGATCAAATCAAATGATAAAATGTGTTCAAATTTGAATAACAAAATTAGTTACATAGTGATTGGGGATATAATTTAGTGTCATAAATACATTACTGTTGTTAACTTGCCCAGTGATAACTTCTCTGTATTGGAAAAGCTAATATGTGGCTTTAGATTTGGCTTCAAAAAATAATATTTAATGTATTTTGTATACTAGACTGACATTTAGAATTATTAAAGGAACTATTGTATGAACAGAAATACCTTTATGTGGCTGGTATAATTGATACAGTCCCTATAAAGAGTTAGTTTGAAAGCTGAGACGTTATGTATAAAAGCCTGATACTGTCTTATTTTAAAAAGCTATTACAAAGTGATATATTTTCTTTGAACTAATAGCTTACCTTGCTGATACTTACATTATTAAAAATTCTGGCTATGAATAAATTTTAGTGGGATCCTTCTTTCTTAAAATACAAGACTTCAAGTTCATTGATCAAATCCATTTGGTTTTCATAAGGTAGGAAATTTAAAAAGTTTTCTTTTTTTTTTTTAACAGTTCAGCATGTATTTATTATGTGCCCAGTTCTCTGCTAGGTTCTGTGAGGGATAGAAAATACGGGACATTATCCCCAACTTTAAAGAGCTTGGGATCTAGTTGGGAAAGAAGTATCTGCCCAATATTGGCTGAGAAGGCCTTTGATTCCCGCAGCTTCTGCTGTGAAGAGGAAACGTGATGATGTAACACAAGGAGAGTTATGGCACCTAGCAACCGGGGGTCCATCTGTAGCTCAGACTCCAAGCAGGACATAATTTTTGTCTATAAGAGAGGCTTAATACCTTTGACAGACGCTCTAGCTAATTGTGCTATAAAAGAAAAAAAATGAAGTAAGTATTGGAAAGGGAATAAATTGTTTTTGTCTAGAGATGATAGGACAGTATGTCTGGAAACCCAGTGGTCTAAATGTTGGAAAGAATTTAGTAAGATGTCTAGAAACAAAATAAGTATATACAAATCAATAGTTTTTCTCTGTGGCAGCTATATCTGGTTGAAATGGAAAAGAAAAAAATCCCGTTCACATTAGCAACACTAAAATACCATGGAATAAAAGTAGTGTCAAATGAAGGCAACTATATGGCATAAAGAAAGAGTGCATAGATAACATAAAAAGGTTTGAAAAGTTTATGACAAAAGGTATGATAAAGTCAAAAGGCAAACAGAAGGGCTGGAACAAAAATATCTGCAACATATATACCAAAGAGTAAATATTCCTGATATACAAAAAGTTCTTTTACAAATCACTAAATCATCCCAGTAGAAAAATGGGCAAAGAATATGAAGAAGCGACTTATAGAAGAAGTGACATAAATGGCAGACAGTTACATGAAAAGTTGCTCAAGCTCAGTAGTAGTCAGGAAAATGCAAATTAAAGCAATGAAATGCCTTTTCACCTCTTCAACTGGCGACAACTTTAGATGAGAAATAAAGGGCACTCCCCTGTATTGCTGGAAGGAGTAAAAATTATTATACATTTCTGGGAACATAATATGACAGTATCTGTTAAAATTTAAAATACACATTGTTTGACCAATTATTTCTACTTCTGAGAATCTAACTTAGAAAATTAAAAGCATCATAACACATGTAAAGGTGCTTATTGCATAACTTAGAGTGGAATAAAATTTAGAAACAAACAAAGTCATCCATCTGGAAATGGTTGAATGAATTATGGCAAGTCCACATTATAAAATATCAGGCACCTATTTTTAAATTATTTAGGATTATATTATATGACATATGCCAAGCAAATGATATGACCCTTCTTTTGTAAAAAATAAATAATTAAAAGCAACAACTGCCTTTGCCACCACACAAACTCACCAGGAAAGAGTGAGAATGTGGCCAAGGCAAACCAGAGAGGTGAGCAGACCTAGCCCCAGGCAGACATTCTGTCTGCTGTGCAGAGCAGACAGTCATCACCATGTGGAGGAAGAACAAAGTCTTCCTCAGAAACCAAGTGATGAAATGTGCTGTGGTATAAAGACTTCATGCTGAATGTGTCCTGAAAACACATTGCGGAGTTAAACTGAGAGAGCTAAACAACTGACATATCTTAAAAGAGGAGTTTTCATTTCAGAACATCCAGCTATATTGTACAACTTCTAATTACTGCCCTTTTAAGCCCAGCCTCTGACTATATAGCTTCAACATTTCATACTTGTACCCTTATTGTTCTTCTTTTGTTTCATAACTGAACACAATAGTTTGGCTTAGATCCAACGAATGTCCAAATGAAGTTAAAGACTCCCTGGCCTCAACATGCTTAATGTATTAACTATTTTTAAAAATAATTTGTTTTATTTTTGTAATTGTTGTAAATATACATAGTAGAACATATTCCAATTTAACAATTTCTACATGTACAATTCAGTGACATTGATTATATTCTTCAAGTTGTACAACCATTCTCACCCTCTGTTTTTGAATTGTTCCTCCCCCATTAACATAAACTCACCGCCCAAGCTTCCTAATCCAGCCCCCACAGTGCTGTAATAAAAATCCTATTTTCTTTGCTTGGCTTCCTCCCCCCGCCCCCCAGCTTTGCATTTGAATCCTACTTTTATGTAAACCTCATTGCGCCTGCGTAGTATGATTAAGAATGTTGCTAATGTAACTTATGTGAACTCCCTACTTCTACACCCTTTAAAAGTAACTTGCCTGCCCGCCCTTGGAGAGCAGTCTTGGCAGCCCCAGGTCCGACTGACTCCTTTCTGTTGTACAACAACATAAAGGTTCTTTTCCTGTTCTCCCACCTCGGTCTCTCGTTTATTGGCCGATACAAGTCATGCCAAGCAAGAATCTGAAGTTTCCACCTCATAACAATCATGCCACCAGGGCTCCTTGAGAATGAGTATAACCGCTGGTAAATTGGTGAAATGGCTTTTCCCTGTATATGTTGAGTTACTGAAGCACACTAAAGCTAGCAACCTTTGAAGTTGCTGTTGTCAGTTTGATCCCATATAGCTAGATCTTTAAAAGAGCACAGTGCTCAAGCAGACATTCTTTACTAGTTAAGTTACACTATTGTTTTGTTTAAAGAAGACTTCAGGGGATATTTTGGGTTTCAGGTTTGAAGATTATCTTGGGGCAATAGATACGGGGGTTCATCTAGCCTCAGTGGCTCCAGAAAGTTTGGATTCCATGAGAATTTTAAATTCTGTTCTGCATTTTCCCCCTTTTGATCAGGATTCGTCTATAAAATCTTTGATCAGAATGTTCAGTAATAGTATCTGAGCACCATCCAGTTCTCCTGGTCTTGTGGCAAAGGAGGCAGTTGTTGATGGAGAAAAGTCAATTTCAGTATTGTAAGGCTGGAGTCTGCAGAGTGGTTCATAGGCCAGATTTGGCCCACTGCCTGCTTTTGTACAGCCTATGAGCTAATAATCATTTTTACCTTTTAAAATGTTTGAAAAAAAATTAAAAGAATAGTATTTCATGACATGTGAAAATTATATGAAATTCAAATGTCAGTGTCTCAATAAAATTTTATTGGAACACAGCCACACCCATTTGTTCACATATTTTCTTTGGCTGTTTTCACTCTATAACAGCAGAACTGATTAGTTGCAGTAGAGTTAGTATGTGACATTCTCATCACTTTACATTGCTCCAAAAAAACCCCAACCCGTTGCTGCTGAGTAGATTCTGACTCATAGTGACCCTATTGACAGAGTAGAACTGCCCCAGAGGATTTCCAAGGAGCAGTTGGTAGATTTGAATTGCCGTCCTTTTGGTTAGCAGCCAGGTTCTTAACCACTGTGCCACCAGGGCTCCACATTGCTGCTCAGTGCGCTACAAATCACAGTGATGTAGTTACAACTCACCAGTATTTAAAGTGCCATGGGTTATCACCTATCTATATGAAAAGACACTTTCAAAGATGAAGTACATAAAATCTTGTTACAGATCAATATTACCAGATAAACAGCATTAACAATCTATTGTTAGGGAACAGTAACTTTGAATTCTAATTAAACAAAATGCTACCCCCTCCCAAAAAATAGAATTACATTCTTCTCATTAGTAGACACTGTTATAAAACATTATACTCAGTTATTATATTTTTAATTTTGTCAAAACATTTGTGGAAATTTTTTTTCTTTCTTGCTATATAAGAACGTGTGTAATAGCTTCAATTTTCCTCTTGGCCTACCAACCTAAAATATTTACTCTCTGGCTCTTTACAGAAGAAGCTTGACATCCCTTGCTCCCTGTGTTTGTTGCAGTAGTTTATACCACTGTCTTTCATTTGCGGTTGAATATTGCTGATAAGTTTATTTGGCCTTACTCTTCTCTGGTCACATAACATGTTTGCAAGTTAATTTGTGCAAAATTATTTTAAATGGTGGTTGGTAGTTGTGTCACACAAAGGTAGCAGATTGATCTACTTTGTTATTTATTTATTATAAGCCCCGAGATTTTGATCGCTTGTTTGGGAGCTAGATTTAAGTGTGCTTCAGTAACTCAGCATATTTCAGGGAAAAGCCATTTTACCGATTTACCAGCAGTTATACTCAAGGAGCCCTGTTGGTACAGTTGTTACCGGGTGGAAATCAGGTTCTTGCTCGACATGACTCGTATTGGCCAATAGATGAGAGACTGAGGTGGGAGCACAGGAAAGGCACCTCTATTTCTTTGTACAAGGAAAAGGGAGTCAGTCGGACCTGCTGCTGCCAAGACTGCTCCCCAAGGGCGGGCAGGCAAGTTACTTTTAAGGGGTTTACAAGTAGGGACTTCACGTAAGTTACGTCAGCAACATTCTTAATCATACTACGCAGGCGCAGTGAGGTTTACATAAAAGCAGGATTCAAATGCAATGCTCGGGGGGAGGAAGCCAAGCAAAGAAAATAGGATTTTTAATTCAGCACTGCGGGGGCTGTCTTATTATGGCTAAGTGCTCAGCTGCTAACTGAAAGTCTGGTATTCGAACCAGCCAGTGGCTCTGTGGGAAAAAAGGCCTGGCGATCTGCTTCTGCAAGGATTTCAGCCTAGGAAACCCTATGGGGAAGTTCTCCTCTATCCTGTAGGGTCGCTATGAGTTGGAATCAAATTGACGACACACAACACCACCACACCTGTTATCATTTAGTTAATTTGCTTAGAGAAACTGGGTTCTACTCTTAGTCTAGTTAGTTTTTTGTTCTCAACCTTGCTGCACCTTAGAATAATTTGGTGAGCTGTTAAGAAGACCAATTTCCTGGCCATACCTCAAATCAAATCAGAATGTTGTGGGTAGCAGGAGGAGGGCAGCAGAGTTTGATCAGTATCTAAAAGGCACCCAGGTGCTGTTTTCTTCATAAGGAAAATGGGGCTAACAGTTGCCTACCAAGAATACCTACTTAACTTCATTGTGAGAATCAAATGAATATGGAAAGACTAATAAAACCATATTATAGTTTATGGTCAGGATTTTCTTATAGTAACACTGTATATGTAAACTGAAGGCCAGATTCCTGGAACCTTAGAAAAGCCTTGATAATAGGTGTAAGAGTCAAGTTTTGTTTCTTTCTTTGACCTTGGGCAAGGGTTTTAACCTCTTAATCTTAAAATTCCTTATCTTTAAAATGGAGATGATAATAGTATCTACCTCATAGTGTTCAAGGATTAAACACGCTAGTGTGTTTAAAATGCATATTAATATAATGCCTGGCATATAGTAAGTACTCAATAAAAGATAGCCATTATATTAATAATAAAAGCTACAAACAAACTGAGATATGAAAGGACCTCTCCAGCATAGAGGGTTGTAGCTATCATAAAAACGGTACTTTTAGAATTACCTGTAAGATAAGGCAACAGATGAAAAGCATTGAAAGAGGGAGGAGTGGCAGTTAGAGTAGAGGCAGGGAGACAAACTATAAAAAATGCTTGGTCATCTCAGAGTCAGAAATACCTCAGTGTTTCCTTAGAATATCACTGTTTCGACAAGAGGCATCTAAAAAAGGGATACTACTAGTATCGTGTATCTTTACCCAACTGGGTTACATTTTGGTTTGGGGTTTGGTTTTGGGTTTGGTGTTTTTTTTTTAAGTTTTGGCATTTAAAGTGTTTGCTTAGAAACTTAGGTTATGTGGAATTACCACACTACAAAAGTGTTGGATAAGTGAAGTGTTTTATATTATATCAAAAACCCATGGCTGCTGAGTTGATTCCGACTCATAGCAGCCCTATAGGACAGAGTAGAACTGCCCCATAGGGTTTCCAAGGACTGGCTGGGGGATTCGAACTGCTGACATTTTGGTTAGCAGCCGAGCTCTTAACCACTGTGCCACCAGGGCTCCACTCATATAAGGATGCAAATTTGGTATCTAAATGTTGAAAAAACTACTTAGCTTTTGTTTATTTTTAATTTTCATCATAATCTTTTCTAGGAAGATTCCGGATGTTGCACCCATTGTAAGTGATCAGAAACCATCTGTATCAAAGTCTGGACGGAAGATTAAAGGAAGGGGCACGATTGTATGTGTGTTAAGACTTCTTTTTTCAGATTATTTATCTAAGCAGTAAAATTTATTTTTCCTACAGGCAAAATCCTAGCATTAATTTTAGGTATAATCCAAACTCAGTTCTAGGAACTAGTTGTATTTTCCATAGTTTGGGAAGATACTGTTATTATTTACTGCTGGTTTTGAATGGGTGTAATTAGGTATGAAATGAATATGTGAAACAGTCAGTATGCTAAGGAATCTTAGTATGTTGAATAATCTAGGCTAATGAATATAACCATTAGGACTTTGAAGAGGAAGATTGCATGTGGGATTACAGGCGAGTCTCGGCCTTTCCCATCTGCTTTTCATCCCTTATGTTTGAAAGAACTTCATACCATCCTTTTGGTACTTGACTCATTGCCTTTAATGGAGTCTGAGATTGGCTCTTATACATAACTCTGTCCTGTAGCAGACTCTGTAATAGAGAGACATTTTTTAAATAGTTATTCCCATCTTTGTTTTTAAAGCGCTATCACACACCTCCACGATCAAGATCCTGTTCTGAATCAGATGACGATGACAGCAGTGAAACACCTCCACACTGGAAAGAGGAGATGCAGAGGTTAAGAGCGTACAGACCACCTAGTGGGGAAAAATGGAGTAAAGGAGATAAGTAAGAGCTTTGAGTATAAGCACGGTCCTGTACTGCTGTATTTTAAGTGTCTCGAGGGGATAGAGACTTACTTTTAGACCTTTCATGAAAGGTTGACAGTCAGTATTAGATGGTGACCAAAGGGAACACATTTGGGAATACTTGGTGAAAGTAGTGCTGTTAATAAGGAGGGTGGAACCAGGCTTTGGAGAACCAAAAATGTGTTCTTCCTCACAAAACTGTAAGCCTACTGAATTTCTTAAAAATTTCTTGTTCAATTTTATAAATAACCAGCACTTAAAAATTATATGGGAGATTCTTTCCTAACCAGGTCTCTTAGTCACTGATGAATTAATTGATAGGAAAAGCTGTACCCAAGTGTGTGCACAATTTCTGACTCCAAGGACAGTTGCTTCTTCAGAGGTGTACCCATCTCTTACCCTCAGAGACACCCTGTAGTAGAATGTCTGTGTTAGAAATGGAGCCCGCCCCAGAATAGCTAAACATACCATTGGGGCCCTGTATAGTTCTTTATGGTGGAGTTCTCTTTTTCTCTGTTAGCATTTTGCAAAATAGTTTGAAATTGCAAGAGGGAGGAAAAGGCATGGGTCTGCTGTACGAAAACAAATGCAGGCTTAGACATAGTGGTGCTGAGGATTCTCAGATATGAGCCCTCACATCACTTGCAGAGATTGCAGAGCCTCCATTTGTTTTCATGTACTTCTCCCTCAATTTCTGTAGTAAGTGGTTTAACTGAAACCTTATGGGAAAGTCCTGATTACTTTTGTGAGGCTGAGCTAAAACAATAGTCATGCTAGCCTTTTAAAAAGAAGACTTTCCTCAAAGTTCAGGTAGCCATCCTGTATCTGCAGAGAATCAACAAAATTGTTTGGGAACTTGGTTTGACCCTCCCTCAAAAATGACACCTGGAGGCAGAAGGTTATGAGCAAAGCACAGCCAAGAACTCAATGTGTAAGCAATGCTCTTGTGATTAGTTGGTTTCAAAAACATTTCTCTATCAAATTTGAAACTCCTTACTGAGCTTTGAAAAACTCCTTTTCTAAGTGCATCTGTTAGTAGTTGTTAGTGTGTATCTGTGAAATTATGAAGGTCACGATCAGGCCTATCACTGTTTGATTCATCCTTCTTACCTATGTTTAAAGTGTTGATAGAGTCAGTGTTTTGTTATTAACAAAGCTTTGTCAGTGCTTTTGCATTGACAGCAAATGTCTTTAAATGCTTGTAAATAATTGCATGGATATTATGACTTTTTGTAGGTTAAGTGACCCCTGTTCAAGCCGATGGGATGAAAGAAGCTTGTCCCAGAGATCCAGATCATGGTCCTATAATGGATATCATTCAGACCTTAGTACAGCAAGACACTCTGATGGTCACCATAAAAAACGCAGAAAAGAGAGAAAGGTTAAGCATAAAAAGAAAGCTAAAAAGCAGAAACATTGTAGAAGACACAAACAGACTAAGAAGAGAACAGTTATCGTACCATCTGATGTAGAATCCTCAAAATCTTCCACCCGACAAACAAAATTTTCTTGTGATAGGGAAAGGAGATCTCGTTCTTCCTCATTGTCTTCTCGTCATTCATCAAGGAGGGACTGGTCTAAATCTGATAAAGATAACCAGAGCTCTTCAACCCATTCCAGCAGAGACTCATACAGATCAAAATCTCACTCCCGGTCTTACTCTAGAGGAAGCTCAAGATCAAGGACTGCATCAAGATCTTCATCACATTCTCGAAGTAGATCCAAGTCCAGATCTAGTTCAAAGTCAGGTCACCAAAGGACAGCATCAAAATCACCAAGAACAGCCTCTCAGTTAAGTGAAAATAAACCAGTTAAAACAGAACCTTTAAGAGTAACAGTGCCACAAAATGAAAACGTAGTAGTCCAACCAGTGGTGGCAGAAAATATTCCTGTAATACCATTGAGTGACAGTCCCCCGCCTTCAAGGTGGAAGCCTGGGCAGAAGCCTTGGAAGCCCTCTTATGAGCGAATTCAGGAAATGAAAGCTAAAACAACCGATTTGCTGCCCACCCAAAGTGCTTATAGCTTAGCAAATGTGAAAGAGACTGGTAGTTCATCATCCTACCATAAAAGAGAAAAACATCCAGAAAGCGATCGGAGTGCTTATTCCAAATACAGCGATAGAAGTTCAGAAAGTTCACCTAGGTCCAGGAGCAGATCTTCTAGGAGTAGATCTTATTCCAGATCGTATACAAGGTCACATAGTCTGGTTAGCTCACATTCAAGGTCTAGGTCGCCATCATCTAGATCTCATTCACGAAATAAATACAGTGATCATTCAGAGTATAGTAGATCATCTTCATACTCTTCTGTTAGCAGCGATGATAGAAGACTAACCAAGAGGAGGTTTAGATCCAGTGGGAAAAAAAACAGCACTTCAGGTAAAAGGCACAGCAGCAGCTCTGAAAAGACACTTGGCAATAAATATGTCAAAGGCAGAGACAAGTCTTCATATCAGAGAAAGTATAGCGAAGGCAGGTCATCTTTAGATTATTCTTCAGACAGTGAGCAGTCAAGTGTTCAGGTTGTACAGTCAGCCCGGGAAAAAGAGAAGCAAGTCCAAATCGAAGTAACTAATAATAAACAAGAGAAAAAGAGAGATGAAGAGAAATCCAAGCCTGAACGGGAATGCCCTCGTTCAAAAAAAAGAACTTTGAAAGAGAATTTTTCTGATCACTTAAGAAATGGTAATAAGCCCAAAAGGAAGAATTATGCTGGGAGCAAATGGGACTCTGAGTCAAATTCAGAACGAGATGTGACTAAAAACAGTAAAAATGATTCTCGGCCGTCTTCTGATAAGGAAGAAGGTGAGGCTACATCAGATTCTGAATCAGAGTTTGGTGAAATTCACATCAAAACCAAACCTACAACAAAGTCTTTAGCAAATACTTCACTGCCTGATAGCAATAGTGTTTGGAAACCAAGCCAACCGCGGTCATCAACCTCTGATTCTGGGGGGTCCTGTTCCAATTCAGAAAACAACAGAGGAAAGCTACAGAAGCACAAACATGGGTCAAAGGAAAATCTTAAAAGAGAACACACCAAAAAGATGAAAGAGAAATTGAAAGGGAAAAAAGACAAAAAGCACAAGGCTCCAAAACGAAAACAAGCTTTTCACTGGCAGCCTCCACTAGAATTTGGTGAAGAGGAGGAGGAGGAGATTAATGAAAAGCAAGTTACTCGGGAGTCAAAAGAAAAAAAACAAGTTTCTGAAAATGGTGAAACCATAAAAGATGACACTCAGAAAACTGAGAAGTCCTGTGAAGACGGCAGCGTTTCAGGTAAACATAATGCGGTGAATATCTCATCAGATCTTGAGCAGCATACTAAAGATGAGCGTAAACTCAGCATTTCTCCCACAGTTTTAAATACTGAGGAAAACGTAGCCAGTTCACCCCCAAACATCCAGCATATTGAAGAGAGTGTCCCAAGTGGAGTGGAGGATGTGCTTCAAACAGATGATAACATGGAGATTTGCACTCCTGATAGGAGTTCCCCAGCAAAGGTAGAGGAGGCTTCCCCTCTAGGAAACTCCAGGTTTGACCCCCCAGATGTAAGCACTGTTCTCAAGCAGGATGTGCAGACGGAGAATCCTGAGGCAGAGGTAGTAAAACAGGAAAGTGGCGTGTCTGAAAGCAAAATGACAGGTGAAGTGGGGAAACAGGACAGTGGCGCGGCCGGCTTGGCCAATGCTGTAGAAAGTACCGTGAAGAGGGAGATGGCTGAGAAGAGCCAGACCAGCCTCGTGGATAACAAGTGGAAGCCCCTGCAAGGTGTGGGGAACCTGGCAGCACCCACTCTTACTTCATCTGGTGCTGTGGAAGTTAAGACATCGACTGCTGTCCCTGAAATGAAACCACAGGGCTTAAGAATAGAAATTAAGAGCAAAAATAAAGTTCGACCTGGATCTCTCTTCGATGAAGTAAGAAAGACAGCACGCTTAAATCAGAGGCCAAGAAATCGAGAGAGTTCAAGTGATGAACAGACAGCTAGTCGGGATGGTGATAGCCAGTCCAGGAGCCTAAGTAGATCTCGAAGTAAATCTGAAACCAAATCAAGACACAGAACAAGGTCTGTCTCCTATAGTCACTCAAGAAGTCGATCGCGAAGTTCCACGTCCTCTTATCGGTGAGCAGTGTTCTCTTTCTTCTCCCAAGGAGAGTTTGTTACTGTTTGTTACTATGGAAGAACAGCACAGTAAGGGGCAGGATCACTATTTCCAGATGTCTGAAAAGGAATAAGACGTCTTGTTCTTTGTCACCCAGAGAGTAGATTGAGAACATGGGGAAATAGGGATTTTAGGGGAAGAAATTTGGGCTTAATGTAAAAAACTCTGTTGATACCAATTAAAGCTCTCTGGCAGTAGAAATGAGCTGCCATGGTAGGTGGCGAGGGCTCCGTCTTTAAAGGTGTGAGGCTGCTCTCTTGCCTGTCGGTGCTCCATTAGAAGTGAATCCTGAATTTCAGAATAGATGGGACTTAGAGCTCATTACTTTAACCGTCCATTTCACACGTGGAAAGTGAGGGCCAGAGAAGCAAGGTTAACCCAAGGGCATGCAGCTGGTTGATCTTTATTCAGAGGGGAAAATGGTAAAAATCATCATCCTTACGTTTCTGGAGTGGGGAGGTTCAAGTTGATCCAGCTTTTGTCATCAGCGTGGACTGGGTAGTGCAGAGAATGAGAATTGAGAACTAAAAAATTAGTGATGATAGTATGAAGTTAATAAGTAGTTTGATTGTTTTCCTGATGATATTTCATGGTTTTACTTCAGTCTCTTGATTACTCATATCCCTTAATTTTCATCATTCAATGTTTAACTTCAGTAAGAATCTTTGACTACTTTTTCCTTTCTAGTTATCCCTCAGTCTTTTTTTTTCTCTTACCGACCCAGACTTCTTAAAACAGGCATTACAACTTGCCGTCTGTAATAACTGTCTCCCACTTCTCATTTGCTTGCTTGCAGTCTGTCTTCTGGTCTTCCTTACCCTCATCCCACTAATCCGACTAAGGTTTTCATCTACTTCCTCATGGCCATTGCCAGGGCATGTTTTCAGCCCTCACCTTCTGGAAGCCCTCTGCTGGCTCTCCTCATTGCTCTCACACCATTCTGTCCCATCCTCGCCTTGTGGGCTCCTCTTTCTCCGCCTGCCCTGACTCCCCAACAGGCTAGATTGTTGGTGAATCCTGACCTTTTCTCTCTGGATTTATATTCCTAAGTCAGTTGCCTGTTAAGCTACTCTGGTCTCCTCTCTTCTCACAATCTGCCTTACCTTTTACACTGAGAGAGCTGTGAGCTCTAGTGATGCTGGGCAGTCTACTCATTTACCTTCCTACCTCTCTGCCTTTGGAGTGGATGGTATTTAATAAATGAAGACAGTGAAGCATAGGAAAGCTAAGGAACTTGCTCTGAGCCCTACAGCTAACAGGTAGTAGACTGAGAGGGCTGAGCCTGGACGCTGCCCTGCCTCCCTGGTTTCATTACCCAGCTGGGCCCCACTCCCTGACTAAGTTCTAATTGTTTGTTGAATAAATGACTAGAATCTCATTAGAACAGAGTGTATTTATTCTCTTGTAGATAAACTGTGGAAGCATATCATGTCTTCTAAAACACAAGTCCATACTGAATAAAAGCTATGATGATATTATATAGGTCGCCTGTACCTGTGGGTGTTTGTTCTGTCCTAGAATGACAAGTATAAAGTAGGAGTAGAGGGTAGAGTGGCAGGTGAATGAAAACCAAAAAAAACCTGTTGCCGTCAAGTCAATTCCGACCCACAGCGACCCTAAAGAACTGGCCCACAAGGTTTCCAAGGAGTGCCCAGTGGATTTGAACTGCCAACCTTTTGGTTAGCAGCCGAGCTCTTAACCACTGCGCCACCAGGGTTTCCAAGAGGGGTTGAATTTTGCTACTTAAGTTTTTGTTTCTTTTATTAAATATTAAGTAGGTATAAAAAATAAAACAGACAAGTAATATTTGTTAAATGTATATAAAATAATATAATGGATATTCAGTGTAGCTGTCATTTAGCGTGAAATATAGAACATTAATATACCTGATGTAGCCCTACCCAGTGGCACCCCACTTTCCCTCCTTTCCTAGAGTTAACCGTTTTTCTAAATTCTTGTTTATGGTTTTGTTTTTCTTTATAGTTTTATCACAAGTGTTTCTATCTTTATATAATTTTGTTTTTGCATGCTTTCAAACTTTTCTATAGATGAAATTCTATTTTATATATATAGGTGTTCTTCACTTGCCTTTTTTATTCAACATTATGTACTGGAGATATATCTCTGTTGAAACATGTAGATGTAATTCATTCATTACATAGACTAGTTCATTATAGGTCCATGCCTTAATCTTTTTTTAATCCATTCTGCTGTTAATGGAGATTTGGATCATTTCCTGTTTTGTTATTACCAACAATGCTCTATGAGCATACCTGTACCAGCCTTTCCTGGTTTCTCTTGATTTCATTCTGTTTGATTTAAGCCCTGGTTGTTTTTGGATTGCCTTGTTAGCTGTCACTGTCATACCCACTGTGAGGAGCCCGTGAGAGACCTTTCCAAAGACCTTAACTCTTGTTGTGTTTTCCCCTTCCTTCCCAAACAGTAATTAATTTTAACAGCTTGGTGTGTTAATATAATTTTTTTTTTCACTGTTTTAACTGTAGATCAAGAAGCTACTCAAGAAGTCGGAGCAGGGGATGGTACAGCAGAGGTCGCACAAGGAGCCGGAGCAGTTCCTACCGCAGTTACAAAAGTCACAGGTGAGCTCGTGGTCCCTGCCCTGCAACGTGGCCTCCAGCCTGTCTGCCTTTCTTGGCTGCACAGGCAGGGTGGCATAGCTGTTGAGGAGAATCCTGTCATTGCTGTATACCACGCTGGCCTGTTTCTCATCAAGCTCTTTCTTTCCAAGAGCCACAGAATTCTTCTGACTATTCCCGGGATGGGATCTTACCAGAGTGAGCAAGAGAAGCAGTAGAAATATTTAAAGAAGGCCCTGGCTCCTACCTCCACCTCCCCTCCAGTACATCTTCCTTAAGCAAAATTCACATCTGCAGTCCCCTCTTCACTTAGAGATTGGGATAAGAAAATCTTAGAGAGGGGACCAAAAGCAAGAAGTGTGTGAGGGGTGACCCAGGTTTCTGGTTCTCCCTGCTTCTTCCTCTCTTTGGCCTCTGAGGTGTTGTCCGCTGCTACAGCCTCAGTGTGCTTACAAGTGTTCCCGCTGTCCAGGCCTTCTCCTCTCCCACCCAGCCAGAGCCTCCCCAGTGACTTTGTGTGCACCTCATAGATAAATTGTATAAAACTTAATCTTTCTTATGAAGTCCAATAAAAAACTGGTGGTAGATTTCACTGTGTTGAAATGGACAAAGAAGTGTCTAGATTTTTGATCAGCTTGTCCTGCCATGATGATCCACAAAACGATGTTCTTTTTTGTGATTAATATTAGGTCGTCTAGCAGGAGCAGATCCAGGAGCAGCTCGTATGATCCCCACAGTCGATCCAGGTATGGACGGGGATTGGGTAGCTACCCGCAGGGGTAGAATTGAAAAGCCTGTTTTATAAACTGTTAAAAGTGTTGCATCTTATTAAATAACTTAAACACATCTGTTTGTCTCATAAAATTGTACCCTTTATAAATGAGATCTTTTTGACAATTTTTATCTGTTGGCCCATTGTACACAAGTGTCAAAAGTGATAATTGATGTCAAATTGTAATGGCAGGTATTTATTGAATATAATTGCTTAATAAGATCCACCAGCCTCAGTCAAACTAACTCAGTGTTAATTTTGTGGTATTTTTCTGCAGAATTGAAATTAACATTTTTCTTTTTAATATGGTGTCTGATTTGGGACAAATGTTAAATGTTTCTAGTGCTTGTTATGCAGATATGTCCTCACACTGTCAGATAGTGCCCATGTTCCCCCCCACCTAATGGAAATATACAAGTATCTGAATGGGAAAATTTAGTGTTTGTTGTTGCTGTTAAAGCAGGTCCTACACTTACGATAGCTACTATAGCAGGAGTCGGAGTCGAAGCAGAAGTCAGAGAAGTGACAGTTACCACCGAGGCAGAAGTTACAATAGGCGGTCCAGGTAGGTCTATCTCTGCTAGAGCACTGCAAGTTACTGTGGGCATTGGTGGGGAGGTGACGGGCTGCTAGTAGAAGGGAAAATACAACCTTCTGAGACAGAGATACTTCTTTCTTTCCCTGAATTTCAACAACCCACAGGCAGCTACCAAAAGTGGCCTTTGAATTAAGAGTTGCTGAGTAATGTTGGTTATTGTTAATGTTTGAATCTAAAATGTATCTTTAAATATTCACATATTCTTGGACAAACATTTCTTTTGGAAGGAGTAAAGAGAGAACGCCACTAAACCATGGCCCAGTTGCTTAAATAGGGCTAGTTGCTGGAAATAACAAAGCCAAATTGTCCATTTTTTTAAATTAAAAAATTAATATATAAGTGGTAACTTTGGTGAAGGGTAAGACAGTACACAATACTGGGGAAGCCAGCACAACTTGTTCAGTGTAAGGTCATGGAAGCTCCATGGACAAATCCAAACTCTCTGAGGGACCGAATTACTAGGCTGAGGGGCTGTGGGGACCATAGTCTTAGGGAACATCTAGCTCAATTGGCATAACATGGTTTATAAAGAAAATGTTCTACATTCTACTTTGGTGAGTAGAGTCTGGGGTTTTAAAAGCCTGTGAGCAGCCATCTAAGATACTCCACTGATCTCACCCCTTCGGGAGCAAGGGAGAATGAAGAAAACTAAAGACACAAGGGAAAGATTAGTCCAAAGGACTAATAGACCACAACTACCATGGCTTCCACCAGACTGAGTCCAGCACAGCTAGATGGTGCCCAGCTACCACCACTGACTGCTCTGACAGGGATCACAATAGAGGGTCCTGGACAGAGCTGGAGAAAAATGTAGAACAAAATTCTAACTCAGGAGAAGACCAGACTTACTGGCCTGACAAAGAATGGAGAAACCCTGAGAGTATGGCCTCCCAATACCCCTGTAGCTCAGTAATGAAGTCACTCTCAAGCAAGTTTCAGCCTTTAGCCAAAGATTAGACAGGCCCATAGGACAAAATGAGACTAAATGGGCACACCACCCCGGGGGCAAGGACTAGAAGGCAGGAGGGGACAGGAAAGCTGGTAATAGAGAACTCAAGGTCAAGAAGGGAGAGTACTGACATGTCATGGGGTTGTTAACCAGTGTCATAAAGCAATATGTATACTGTTTAAAGAGAAGCTAGTTTGTTCTGTAAACCTTCATCTAAAGTACAATTTAAAAAAAAAAGATACAATCTAAAAAATATATATATATAAAATGTCATAATCATTTGCCTCAGAAGCAGGATTGAGATTTATCCTTTCAATTATTTAGTAGTGGGTGTGTGTATTTGGCTAGTACCGCAGAAGTCTTTATTGTGACTTTCTGTAGTGTCACTATTCTTGGTGGCATGTGGTCTTGCCTTCCCCCATCCATTGCAGCTACAGTGATTCTTGTGAAGTGTCAGAGTGCTTTGGACACTCTTGCTTGAAACTCTTCAAGGACTCCCCCACTGCACTCAGGGTCATTTCCAGTCTCCTTAGCATTGCATGCAGGGCTCCTCCACTTACTAATCCTAGCTTAGGCTCATTCTGGCCTCTCTTCTTTAACGTGCTGGAACCTTCTGCCTGGAATCACGCATGCTGAGTTCACCATCTCTCCTCCTGCCCCTTAAAATGGGCAGTTCCCACCTACTCTGCATGTCTCCACAGCAGCCTGCCATCCCTGGGAAGGCTTCCCTGATTGCTGACCCTGGGGTACAGCCCCTCCGTGTGCTTCTGACGCAGCCTTTGCTCCTCCCGGGGCTGTCCTTGCCTCTGACTTGTTTATCTTGCCCACTATCCTGACTGTCTTTGAGCCCCAGGGCATCGTATTTTGTCCATAGTCCCTAACAAAGTGATTGACTCTCAGTGAATACTTTTCAGAATAACTGAATGGTGACCATAGCTGGGTTCTCTTGACTCTCAATGTCCCAGTGGTCCTGTCCACACCTGGCCCCACCCCCACCCCTCCTTGTGCCCACTTGGATTTCCTTACCTGTAATGAAGCTCTGTCCATGCACCTTTTACCCTTTACTTCCTCAGGCAGTCTCAATCCAACATTGATGTTCATTTTGGGTACCATGGAAAGTTATTCTGCTCATTTGCATGAACGGATTTCAAATCATTTCCCAAGATGTGATGTTTCTTTATTTTATCTTAACCTTGATATTACTACCATTTGTCACTAAAAACATCTTTGAGAAGTACACAGTGTTGCCACAGTCAGTACCCCGCTTGTCTACCCACTTCCGTAGTGTTTTCGAGCCACTCGTATCAAAAAAGAAACTCTAAGAGGAATTCAGAGAGTTGACATTTTAAAGGATTTTGCATATTTGTTTTGTTGTAGATCTTATGGCTCTGACAGTGAAAGTGACCGGAGTTACTCTCATCACCGGAGCCCCAGTGAAAGCAGCAGATACAGCTGAAAATGCCCTTTTTGGATACTAATTGTATCTTATTTGTAAATATCTGGTGACTTAAAAGTTTAGAAACTTAATGGCAGTCTGTTGTTCTATTTCAAATATTAGAAATGAATTTCAAGGGGATAGACATTTCTTGTTACTTGTTCATTTATATGTATGCAGAAGTATTTAAAATAATACAAATATGTCTCCTAGAAATATTTTTGTGCCACATTTTACAGTAGCCAAGTATGGAAACAAATTTCATTTTCTTGAATCAAGAAATCATGAGATTTATCTAAGTGTGATTTACAATATTATTTTAGATAGACTGTTTCTCTCCGTCTCTTGTATTCCTTAGAATACAGACTCTTTTCCCCCGTTTTTCAGGTTTCAGCATATATGCTGCCAAGCATAGAACTGTGAAGGAGAACTGTTGAAGGCGGCCAAATATTTATATACCAATTACAGAGTCTTGTGCATATGTGCGCCTAAAAACAAACCACCCGGAATTGATACTGATGGTAGCTAGGAGTATAAGGCAGTGGCTCTAGGGTTCTTAACTCATTCCTGACTTCTTGGCTGTCTCAGAGAATCAAGAAAGTGGTCATCGTATAACCCACTGTCTGCATTACTTCAGGCTAGAGGGCAAGGTTAGGAAGAATAAATCAGCCTTAATTATAAATACCTGCACTGTCTCTAAAGACTTAATGCTTTATTTGTGCTTTTTAATAAATACTATCAGAAATTTAGGGTTGTAAGAAATAATCCTATTCCAGTTTATGCTTTGGTGCTTGGTACCTTTTGGTGCCTCTTTAAGCATTGTTCTCATATCTTATACATTAGAATCCCATAAGAGAGAAAAATGAAATGTATTTTTTTAATTCACCAGTACTGAAAATGGTTCCTTCTGAACTATCTTCACTTTGAATATTTGGGGAGCTTCTCCCAAGCACAGATGTGGGCTGGGGGTCCTGTGGAGCAGGCAGGATTGGCGTAGTGGGTGGCGTGGCCACCCAGGTCTGTTGTACATAACTGATGTGTCTGCTTCTGGAAGAGTAGATTGAGGAACGAACTTCGAAAGTGACATCAAAGTCTAACTACCATCCTGGGAACATTTGGTAGGACTTTTCAGTGTTTCCAGTAAGGGACATAGCACAACACTAGCTGAACTGTTCCACACACCAGCACGTTGCACCTGCTTCCTCTGTGACCCCTACTGGCTCAGCGGAGCCTGGCACGACATGAGGAACCCAGGACACCAGGTAGCGGGGAGGGCGTAGCATACTGCATAAGTTACACGTTTTCAAGGCTTTGGATGGTTCCTCCAAAATTAATTTGAGCTGTAAAGACTGGTATGATTTTTTTAATCTTTGGTTTGATTTTTCCCCCAAGTGTACTTAATCACCTTAGTGCCAGTTTAATCCACTTAGGCGGAAGAAATTGACGTTGGATGTTTGATGTAGAACCCTGTGCCGTCTACCTCAGGCCCTGCCTGGTGTATTTGGGAAGTAGAAAAGAGTCCTCAGTTGGAAGCATGTGACAGCCCTTAATGGACAGAGGGGTGACTTTGGGTGAATTAAAACCATCATCCATGTTAAGTTGCATAAACAGGGTTAGGTTGTCAATTTTTTGCTAAGTTGATAGGCAAAGCTGCATTAGAAAACAGGACTTGAGTAAACGATACTGGAATCAAATAGAAAACAAGGTGTGATTCATATTAAGGGTTTTCAAAAGCGGCCTGCAAAGGAGAATATTGCTTTAATTCAGTGGGGAAAAAACATACTCAGAACCCAAACAGAAACTGCCAAATCTAATTTGGTTAAGAAAAGTTACCCTTGGGCAGTGTATTAGTTTTTTATTGCTGTGTAACAAATTAGCCTAAACTTAGCGGCTTAAAATAACCCCCACTTCCTAGCTGACAGTTGTGTGGGTTATGAGTCTAGCACGTTATCGCTGGATTCTCTGCTGAGAAGACTGAAACCAGGTGTCATCAGGACAACCTTCCTTTCTGGAGCTCTGGGGAAGAATCCGCTTTCAGGCTCGTTCAGGTTGCTGGCAGAATTCAGTTCCTTGCAGCTGTAGGACAGAGGTCCCCTTTCCTTTCTGTCAGGTAGGACCTCTCTCTCAGGTCCTTAAGGCCACCTGCATTCCTTCTTGCGTGCTACCCTCCATCTTCAAACCATCGATGGCCTGTCAAGTCCTTCTCTTTCTCACACTTTGAATTTCTCTGACGACTACTTCTGTTTTAAGGGTTCATGTGATTAGATCAAGGCCACCCAAATGATCGTTATTTTGAGGTCAACTGTGGCATATAACATAATGGAATCACAGGAGTGATATCATTCACAGGGTCCAGGGATTCGAGTGTGGAACCGAAAGGAGGGGTACATTTTAGAATTCTGCCTACCTCAGGCAGTAACTTTGCCCATCTCAGCTGTGGGTATAATTTTAACCTGAAAAGGTGGGCCCTAGAAGCCTCCTTTGTTTTCTCCCTGGGAAAGGACAGCCCTCAACTGCAACATTCAACTTGTTGTGTGTTTACTGAAGTGAACTACAGAAATAGCCTTTCTTCCTAAAGTGGACTGTTCTGTATTTTGAAGTTATTTTTAATAAAACTGAATTATGTTGTGTATTGTGCTTCTTAATAGAAAATGCATTATTGAGCTGTTTTTTGTAGCATCCTGTTTACTGCAAATGAAATATGATAGCTAGTAGTGTTCAAAACTGTAGAAAATACTTTTGTACATATCGCCAACGTCTAATTTGTATACACTCCAATTAAATTTCCCTACAACTTGGAAGGGGGGACCTTGTAGAAATTAAAATATATACTTAGTCTAAAGATCTGAGTCTGCACATCTCATCTTTATTCACCCAGGCTTCAAATAGTCTTTCTGAAATGGAAAGGAAAACACTGAGTCTCTGCTGACCCAGCCAGCGAAGAGGCTTCCTCTCTCTCTCTGCAGCTTATTTTCTTCTAGCTGTGTGTGTTGTGGTGGGGCAGGAGGCGGGGAGCCAGGGAGAACTCCGGGCAGAGATGGTCACCTCCACAGATAAGCATTAATGGTGCTTGGTCTTCTCCCCCTGGAAACTCCAGATTTTCTCCAGGCTTTGCTGTCGTCTTCCAGCTGAGGTACCTGCATCCGGATATCTTTGCCAAGGAAGGAACATGCCCCATCACATCTGTAGTCTGCCTTGGGACAGTACATTTACCTGCTAAACCACCTACAACCTCCACCTCCCCTCCCTAACTGCAGTTCACCAGGCAGGCGCATGTCACTCACTCCAGGAGAATACATTCGTGGTGATATTTTTAGCATCCACAGGAGAATTTGCAGGGCAAGTACAATTAACTTTTGTCTTCTCAGAACTCAGAGGAATTTGTGTTTTCTTAGTGAATACAACATAACTTCCCATGGTAAGACTTGCAGACATCCAGTTTTCTAAATCAAGTTAACAGTGGACCACCAAGTTAGACAACTCCTGAAAATTGTCTAATCTGGATGCATTGCTTTAAAATGTAAAGAAAATGCAGAGCCTGTTTGCTGTGGGAGAACCCCTAATAAGGTTCCTTCATGTTCTTACATTTTTAGTGAGCTGTAGGATCTTTATTCACATTCTGATAGTGATGAGCTTTATCAGTCAGGCAGTGTTGGGGGCCGGGGGCAGGTATGTCAAGGGCTTCTTTGGTGTTGAATATTGTTCTGAATTACCCAGGCATTAAATAGGTAATAGAATCCAAGGAAAATGCCCCCTCTGGCAAGAGGCCATGAGCACTGATGGGGCATCACTGTTTGGAAGGGAAAGGAGGCTCTATGTGGTGTTACAGCAAGAGGCCCACTAGTGAGTGTAGCCTTGAAGAGGAGTGCTGCAGACTAGTGTGGCCAGGTGAGGGACCAGGAAGCCCCACCTCACAGAGTGGAAAGGACAAGTCTTAGACGTCCAAAGGACTGGTCTTTTGAAGAGGGAATCGCCTCTGCTGCCATAGTGAGAGGTGAGAGCCTGAAGTCCCACGAGGGACTTGCTTGGCAGGGAGTTCTTTGATGCTGAGAGGGCAGCAGCCTCTCAAGAGTCGAGAGGTATCGGGAGGGTGAGTCTGACCCACGGCAAGAGGGGCTGAGTACCCTAAAAGAAGACAGCAGCTGCTCACCTCAGGACAGACTCTCGGAGGCTCCAGCCAATGCCTGATGAGTACAAGGGCGAGGGGAGCCCACCGTGCAACACACACCAAGTGCAGGGGGTGTTAACGGTCTGTGTGAAGAGCTCAGGAGGAGGTGGAGGCAGTGTTCCTCTTCCTCCCTGTGACTCAGAGGGCCTCTGGTGTGGCTGGGCCAAGCTCAAGGCCACGGGCAAGTGCCTCTGCCTCTTGGAGACCCAGCCACTCTGCCATCTGTAGGCATCAGGCTGCAGCTCTGGCTCCACAAAATGAGTTTCACAGCCCACAGGACCCAGGCTGGCCTGGGAGTGCTGCCCCTTCAACCAGCTTAGGGCCATGCGAACATCAGGTAAAAAGAAAGGAGTGACTTGGGGTCTCCGGACAAACATCTGTGTTCTGTGACCTGAGACCAGACCCTGGGCCTCTGACTGCTCATTTGTAATAGGCGCTAATGGTCTGTGGATCACCCATCTCAGTTTATAAGCTCTGAGAGAGGGTGCATGTGACTGGTGCAGCTAGACCTGGCAACCAATGGTGCTCATCCCCTGCCCACACCTGGAGATGAGCCTGTCTCCTAGAGGGCCTAGGCTGGCCCCTCACCAGCCCCAGGGTCACCCAGTGCCTCCTGTAACTAAAGTCTCTACCACCAGGCCAGATTCCCAGAGAAAACCCAAGGAGGATCCCTACTGACCTCAATGCCTCCGGCCTAATTTGACTTTTTTTTTTTTGAAGAAATAGATGAACTTCTATTAAGCATCTGCTCTATAGCATGGAGGCTTTGGGCCAGAGCCACACTGCCTGGGTTCAAGTCCTGCTCTGATATTTCCTAGGATTCCTGGGCCCCAGAGACTCCTGAGCCTTCCCTCAACACTGCGGGTAAAGAGCTCCACAGGGTTTCAGTGAGGGGCCAGATGCAATCCCTAGTGAGAGGCCCAAGAGCCCTTGAGCCAACAGGCAGGAGAGAGGCCTGCAAGCTGCCAAGGAGGCCTCGAATGCCAAGGCCATGATGCTTATGCTGCATGAGGGAATAGGGCAACCCTCTGGTTTGCATTAGGTCCCCACCCAACCCCGGGCAGCTGCATTCTATTAGTGCTGGGCTCAGCTGAGGCAGAAGGAAGGAGCAACTCCCCACCCCCACCCTGAACCCCACGCCCAGCCAACCCACATTCCCCCACTCTGGAGGGCCCTGCATCAGCGCTCCGGTGGGTAGCTAGAACCTCTCTGCCACCCCCACCGACCTATCCTGTATAAGTCAGGGACACTCTCTGTTCTCTGGCGCTGCCCACTCTCCCCTCCCTCCTTCTCCCATCTCGGCTACACACAGCTGCATGCTCCATGTGCTGAGCCTTGCACTGCTCCCCACCCCCCATACATGAGGCTTGGGATATTCTTCCCAGCTTCAGTGGGGTGAGTCTGGTTTTCCCAACCAAGCCTGGGGACTCCCCCCTGCACAGTCTGGGTCTGCGCCACCTCTCTGTCATGGGGGAGAAACAGGGCTAGATACTTTGGGAGGTTGCAAGGAAACCCTGGCGCTGGCCTATAGAGGCAGGGGCGTGGCTTTGCTGACCTTCCCAGCACCCGGCCCCAAATGCCTGGAGGATCAGAGAGCTCGGCTCTGCCAAGTGAGCCGTCTCCACAAACTCCAGCCAGGGCAGGTGCTCACATGGATACCTGAGATCCTCCTCCCCAATCCCCCAAGACCCAGACCCACCTTACCCCCTCCAGGAAGTCTGCCCTGACCTCCCCTTTGAGGTGAAGCTCCCAAGGAATGTCCCTCTCTTCCTGGGTTTCAGTTTCCATGTTGGCCCAGGCTGACATGAAGCTTGAGGACCAGCACCCAGGCTGCGGGGGAGGAGACTTCTTACCAGCTCACTTCCAAGGCCAAAAGAACAATTCCGCTTATTTCTGTCCAGCCACTCCCACCAGAAAAGAATCTTGACTCCACAACACCAAATCGCCTCCAGTTGCCTGCAGGTGCCAACCTTTCCTGCTTCCTGGCCTTTGCAGGTGCTGTTCTCTTGGCCTGGAGTGCCCTCCCTCTTCCTCTTTGCTTTTAATGCTGATTCAACTTACAGGCCTCCACTCTGAGCAGCCTCATTTGGCCCACCAGACTGAGCTCTTCAAAGTTCCTCCCTGCCAGGTCTAGTGACCCGGGTGCCAACAGCCTCTCACAGAGCCCAGGGCTCCCCCAGCAGATGGGATACAGGGCAGAGATGCAAGAGGGGAGTAGCTGGGGTCTTCAGGGAGGCTGAGACACTCCCCCTCTGTCTCACCCAGGCTCTAGCCCCTCCTTTGGCTTGGCTGTTGCAGCTAAGGCCAATGCCAAAGGGCCAGCAGCCCTACCTTGGTCATGCTGGCCACACCCTCTGCCAAGCCTTGGCTGGGAAGTGGCTTGGGAGTGTCCTGTGCAGCCCTTTCCCTGCCAGGCTCCTCCCAGCCCATGGGGGAGGCAGCTCTCTCTCAGCCTGTCCATTCCTGGGCTCCTGACACTGGTGCCCAGCTCTGTGACCTGTTCCTCTCTGAGCCTCAGTGTCCTTTTCTGACCAGTGGGTACATAGTCCCTCCCTTCGCACCACCCAGGCTGATGCAGTCAGATAAGGAAGTGAACTGGGAGAGAGGAAGAGGCAGAGGACAGGTCTGCTGTGGCCTGGCCTCAGCCCGTGGTCTCTGGGAGCTGAGCCGGCTGCTTGTGCACCCACATGGCCTCACAGGTGCAAAATCGCCTGCAGTGGCCACCAGGAGCTCCCTAGCTGGCCCAGCTCCTCATTTGGGCCTTGCCATGTGTCTGTCTGTGCCCCTTCTCTGTTCCCATCTCTTTGTCCACCAGGGTCTTTCTCCTGTATTTGGCTATGTGCGTTCTGTCTTCCTCTTGGCACTCTTTGTTCACCCCCATCTCTGTCCCTGAGACATGTTCTCCCTAGTTCTGGGATGGCCCCATCTTGGGGGTCTCCCCTCCTTGGCCTCTGGAGCCTCGGAGAGACCCTTGAAATCTGTCCAATCAGACCAGCAGGCTCCACCATGGTGCCTAGCTAGGGACCCGGCTTCTGCTCCATTTTCTCCCCTGGCACCCAGAACCGAGTCACCCCAGCAGGCCTGAGTTCCTGCTCACTCATGAGTGAGGCAGCATACTCAGGGGACAGTGGTACAGCTGGGCATGGCCTTGTGAGTAAGTTTGCACGTGCGTAGGGAGGGATGGAAGGTTCTGTATTGTATTGCCGGGATGGGGCAGGAGCCAGCATGGGGTGGGATGGGTCGTGGGGACTTGGAGGCAGAAAGGCATCTGAATAGACATGGGCCACATGAGAGGCCCACAGAGCCCCCCCCTCGCCCCCCCTCAATGGTGGCCCAGCCACCACCTGGGCCCTAGCAGGTTCAGAGCCTCATGGTCCCCACCCTGCTGCTGGCTCAGCCTGGCAGCGTTCCTATGCAGCCTCCTGCCAGCACAGCCAGCCCCCTGCCCCCACGGGCGTCCATGCCAGAGCAGCATTCCGCAGGCCTGGTGGCATCTCCCCAGCAGAGGCTTAGCGGGGAGGCCACTCAGCAGTGGTCAGGTCACAAGGCTAGGCGGACACAATGGGGCCTGGGCCTCTGGCCCCCACTCCTTTGGGCTGTTTCCTGGCCCAGGGACAGTCACCTTAGGATCTGATCACTGCAGCTGTAGTCCGGAGTCCTGTATCGCCAGCTTGGAGACCACCGGCTAGGTATGAGTCCACCGCAG